AGTATAATATAGAAAAAAAATGGAAAATAATAAATATAATATAGAAAAAAAATGAATGAATATAAAAAAATAAAATAAAACACACACACATATACATATATATAACATATCCACACTTTAAACCTCTTCAAACAGAGAACTTAATGAAACTTCCTGCAAATCTTATCTGTATCCACCACACAGCCCGACCCCACCGGGCCCCTCGAACGCTTGTGTGGCTGAATTTTTTTATCAACAGGAGCCTTGTGTATCTATGTCTGTAATCTGTGTGGCCCTCCTCACATTAGAGCCCCCCTCCCTTCCCATCAGAGTCTTTCCTTCACATCAGAGCACCCCCCTCTCTCCACATCACAGCCCCCTTCACTTCAGAGCCCCCTTCACTTCACAGCCCCCTCCCCTCCACATTAGAGTCCTACCATCACAAAATTTCAAGGCACCCTGTTGTGCGATGGCACCCTGGTTGAGAAAAGCTGTTCTAAGTGCCGGCTGGATAAATCCCGGGAGCCAGGTCGCCAATGCTTCATGAACATTGCGTCCGGCGCCTAACTTCTGAGGTTTTCTCTGGTGGTTGTTGTCCACGGATCTGAGCATTGTTGTGTCTGTAATGTCTGAAGGCGGCTAACACTGCAAGCTTTCCCCCCAATTCCGGGCAGAAGCACAGCCGTCTCCCCACACACGTTACAATCTCTGACCAATCAGCTCCAGACTCACCGAAGCTAAAAAACACGAGGAACCCCCAAAATCTATCCACATTGCATACAGTCATGCGGCCCTTACGCTACATACTTGTAAAGGCATTTGGCGGATTTACATCCTTCATGTATTGCAGAATAAGTTCCTGTGCCACGGAGTTCACCTTTAACCTCGCCGCGTGCGTTCTATCCGAAAGCAGCAAGACTTCAAGTAACCCCCAGGGGCTGAAACATGTCACCTCTCCCCTGCGTCTCTGTGTTGCGACAAACACAAGAGTTCATATCTGATCTACTTCCTCCTCGAAGCCCAGATAAAAGGAACAGACTCTCCATATCCCTTACCCTTGCGCAGCAGAGACCCCCTTACCCTTGCGCAGCAGAGACCCCCTTACCCTTGCGCAGCAGAGACGTCTTACCCTTGCGCAGCAGAGACGTCTTACCCTTGCGCAGCAGAGACGTCTTACCCTTGCGCAGCAGAGACGTCTTACCCTTGCGCAGCAGAGACGTCTTACCCTTGCGCAGCAGAGACGTCTTACCCTTGCGCAGCAGAGACGTCTTACCCTTGCGCAGCAGAGACGTCTTACCCTTGCGCAGCAGAGACGTCTTACCCTTGCGCAGCAGACAAAGGCCGGGCCGGGGACAAAGCTCCCCAATATCCCGTCTCTCATCATTTCTCTCATCATTTCCAATGGAAGCTGAAGAGAGAAAAATGAATCGAAAAAGGAGAAAATACAAAAGAGAGAAAAACAAATGTGACCACCGACCCCGAGCAATGGCTGTTCAACACCGGGGGTCATATATATGTGTGTGTATATGTATTTTTTCGGAGAGATAGGGACACACAGAAAAATATTTTTATATTAGGGATGCACCGATACTGGTTTTTCGGTATCAAGTATCGATATTTTTTTCTCCGGTACTCGCCGATACCGAATACCAGACGTCCCATTAAGGAAGCCGTCTCCATGTTTCTAGTTACCTGGTGACGAGGGAGCACCGGCTTTCTGGCCAATCAGGGAGTCAGGCGCCGTGTAATGACGCAGTGCCCGGCTTCCTAATTGGCCGGGAAGCCAGCTCCATGCTCCCTCGTCACTAGATGATGAGGGAGCATGGAGACGGCTTCCCAACCAATCAGGAAGCCAGGCAGCGCGTAATAATAATTTACTGCCCGGCTTCCTGATACCGGAAGCTTGGGTATCTGGCTAGGCATCGAAGCATTTGGGAGAGTACAACTACTCGCACCAATACGAGAGAGAGAGAGAGCGAGAGAATCGCGGCCCTCCAGCTGTTGTGCAACTACAAGTCCCATGAAGCATTGCAAGACTGACAGTTACAGGCATGGATTCCAGAGGCATGCTGGGATTTATGGTTTCAGCCCAGCTGGGGGGCCCAAGTTGTCTACCCCCATAGTACACAATAAATTATAAACACAAGGAGCTCCAGGTACAGGAAGGGGGGCAGACAGGAGAGCATGCTGGGGCTTGTAGTCATTCTGCAGGAGCTCAGAGTCTGGGGACATGTGTGTCCTACATAGAAATATAGTCATTGGAGAGGACCCCTAATATATATATATATATTAGGGGTCCTCTCCAATGACTATATTTCTATGTAGGACACACATGTCCCCAAACACTGAGCTCCTGCAGAATGACTACAAGCCCCAGCACTGTCCCCTGTCTGCCCCCTCCTTGCTGTGCCCTGTCTGCCCCCTCACCCAGCAGCACACTGTAACCAATGCCATGCAGCGTGCTGACTCAGCTGCGGAACCCCCGCCCCGGGACTGCTATCACCCCTCACCTGTTGGTCGCACTGCGGACAGGACTTGGTGGCCATCTTCACTTTCTGGCCTCTGGCCACAGACATGCTCCTTCCCGCTGCGCGCGCCCCCCGGCGGCTCGCTCCCGCCCCTTTGCTTACACGCTCACACGCCGTCAGCCGAAGGCTCGGGAGCGCGCGCAGCTACGCGTCACGCTCAGCCGCCAACCTCTACGGAGGACACGCCCACCGCTGACTGTCTATTATGTTTTTTTTACCCACCCAAGGCATTGGCTGTGTGGGTGGGCGTGGCCATCGCGCTGTTAGCGCTGGCTTCCCCTGAATGGTGGGAGGGGCATTGGGGTCAGGTTGTTGCAAGGAGAATATTATAGCGTTGCATGCATTGCACCGCACATACAGTGACAGATACACAATAAGTGCAATGTCACACTATAGAGGAGGATCAGAATTTTTATTTATCAGCCTAATGCGCATATTTATACACTAAGCAGTTCAATCTGGTGCCATGTCACGTCACTTCCTTCATTTCGGTGACAACTCTGGCACAAGGACATTGAAATTGCCATCGGCGTTGTCACCTTTGCTACCGTATTCCCCAGGTGGGAATACAGACGTATGTTGTCACATCACTCTGCTGTAATATGGATTCGCAATCCTGAGTTCCGTGGTACGCAGTGGAGAAGAGGAGTGATCAGCTTTGTCAATGATTGGCTATGTAAATTCCTACAGTGGACAGACACGCCTGCAATGCTGGATGCCTGGAATCATGGAAGGTGTAGTTTATGTCGCTGGTCACATGTCATGGCAGAATGACATGTGGAAGCGGCAGTTTTCATGATGGTTCATGGAGGGTGAAGGGAGATGATCCGTGGGGATTGATGGAGCTCCAGGGATGAGCTCATGAGGGATGATGGTTCATGAGACATGAAGGGAGATGATCGGTGGAAATGGAAGGAGCTCCATATGAAGGGTCATGAGGGCTGATGGTTCATGTGATATGAAGGGAGATGATCGGTGGGGATTGATGGAGCTCCAGGTGAAGGGTCATGAGGGATGATGGTGAACGAAGATGATCAGTGTAGATGAGGGTGAGGATAGAGCTGCAGGTGAAGGATGATGGTTAATTGATGATCAGGGGTTATAAGGGTGAGGAAGGAACTCAAGGTGAAGGGTCATGAGGAATGATGGTTTATGGAAGGTGAAGAGAGATGAGGGTGAGGAAGGAGCTCCAGGTGAAGGGCCATGAGGAGTGATGGTTCAAGGGAGATGATTGGTGAGGAAGGAGCTCCAGGTGAAGAGCCATGATGGGTGATGATTCACGGAAGGTGAAGGGAGATGATCAATGAGGGTGAGGAAGGGCTCCAGGTGAAGGGTCATGAGGAGTGATGGTTCAAAGGAGATGATTGGTGAGGAAGGAGCTCCAGGTGAAGAGCCATGATGGGTGATGATTCACGGAAGGTGAAGGGAGATGATCAATGAGGGTGAGGAAGGGCTCCAGGTGAAGGGTCATGAGGAGTGATGGTTCAAAGGAGATGATTGGTGAGGAAGGAGCTCCAGGTGAAGAGCCATGATGGGTGATGATTCACGGAAGGTGAAGGGAGATGAGGGTGAGGAAGGAGCTCCAAGTGAAGGGTCATAAGAAGTGATGGTTCATGGGATTTGAAGGGAGATAATTAGTGGGGATAAGGGTGAGGAAGGAGCTCTAGGTGAAGAGTGATGATGTGTGATGGTTTATAGATGGTCAAGGGAGATGTTCGGTGGAATTAGGAAGAGGAAGGGGCTCCAGGTGAAGAGCCATGAGGGATGTTCATGGATGGTGAATGGAGATGATAGGAGGTATGTGGGGATGAAAGGAGCTCCAGGGGACAGGCCATGAGGGATGATGGTTCATGAGATATGAAGGGAGATGATCGGTGGGGATGGAAGGAGCTCCATGTGAAAGGTCATGTGGGGCGATGGTTCATGAGATATGAAGGGAGATGATCGGTGGGGATGGAAGGAGCTCGATGTGAAGGGTCATGTGGGGTGATGGTTAATGAGATATTATGGGTGGAGATGAGGAAGGAGCTCCATGTGAAGGGTCATGAGGGATGATGGTTCATGGGATATGAAGGTAGATGATTGGTGGCTGATCGAAGAAGCTCCATGTTAAGGGTAGTGAGGGATGATGGTTCATGGGATATGAAGAGAGACAATTGGTGGGGATGGAAGGAGCTCCATGTGAACGGTCTTGAGGGATGGTCGGTGGGGATGGAAGGAGCTCCATGTGAAGGGTCATGTGGGGTGATGGTTCATAAGATATGAAGGGAGATGATCGGTGGGGATGGAAGGAGCTCCATGTGAAGGGTCATGTGGGGTGATGGTTCATGAGATATGAAGGGAGATGATCGGTGGGGATGGAAGGAGCTTGATGTGAAGGGTCATGTGGGGTGATGGTTCATGAGATATTATGGGTGGAGATGAGGGTGAGGAAGGAGCTCCATGTGAAGGGACATGAGGGATGATGGTTCATGTGATGAGAATAGAGATGATCGGATTGGTGGGGATGGAGGGAGCTCCATGTGAAGGGTCGTGAGGGATGATGGTTCATGGGGTATTAGGGGAGATGATCGATGGGAATGGAAGGAGCTCCATGTGAAGGGTCATGAGGGATGATGGTTCATGTGATGAGAATAGAGATGATCGGATTGGTGGGGATGGAGGGAGCTCCATGTGAAGGGTCATGAGGGATGATGGTTCATGGGATATGAAGGGAGATGATCGGTGGGACGAGGGTGAGGAAGAAGCTCCAGGTGAAGGGTCATGAGGGTGAAATTTCACCAATGAGTTGGCAGGCAGTGGTTAGGTAGAGGTTGGTCGGCCTCTTTCCCTGTGTTGGGTGTACTCTGTCTTTTGGATAGACGTATCCCGGGTTCCCCGCTTTCATTTTTTTAAAAATCTTGGTGACTACAGCCACCTAGACAGGAAGTGATGGGAATCCAGAATGTACAGTTGTCACTGAAACAGGAATAGTCGGAGGAAACCTCTGTCCCTAGAGGACACCTGTTCCGGTGACAACTGTCTTCGGGCCGTTCACATCACACAACACGTAGCGCTGAGTTCTGTAGTTCACATCACACAACACGTAGCGCTGAGTTCTGTAGTTCACATCACACAACACGTTGTGCTGTGTTCTGTAGTCCATTAAAAATGAAAGGCCTCATGTCACGCAAATGTAGTGCAGGCTGAACTTCTCTCAGGTTGGGTGGCCATAGACCTGGATGAGATATAAAGCTTTATTGGCCCCCGTGGTATAGTGATCATCATCATATATTTATTATGTGAATATATTGTCCTATGTGACACTCTTCTCCTCACAGAATGCTGACAGTTGGGCTGACACTCAGCGCTTCCCGCCAATCCTTGTCAGGCGCGCACTGCATGCCGGGGTGTTCCCCGCGCGCTCCCTCCTTCTGACTCCGCCCACCACAGTGGGGCGCGCTCTCCCTCCCCTGGCACCGCCCACCATAGAGTATCTTGCTTCCCTTGACTCCGCCCTCCATAGATCGGCGCGCTCCTTGACTCCGCCCTCCATAGAAGCGGAGCGCTACCGGGGGTGACATGAGGGGTCCGGTCAGGGCAGTGCTTCGATCTAGGTTAAGGGGGGCGGGAAACAATGGAGCGCCCCGGAGGGCCAGCAGCAGCATCGTGGTCGCGGAGGCCCCCGTGGTGCGGAGCCGGATCCTCACGCTGCAGTCTATGAACCCGCAGGTGCGGGCAGTGGAGTACGCCGTGAGGGGGCCCATTGTCACCAAGGCCGGGGAGATCGAGCGGGAGCTACAGAGGGTGAGTCTTGTGCGGGACGACAAGTCCCAGCATGGCCTGGTTTACAGGGGAACTACAACTCCCAGCATGACAGTACAACTCCCAGCATGGCCCTGGTGAAAAGAGAACTACAACTCCCAACATGACCTGGTCGACAGGGGAACTACAACTCTAAGCATGGCTTGAGTGACGGGAACTACAACTCTAAGCATGTCTTGTGACAGGGGAAATACAACCTCCAGAGTGCTTTAGTTGATGGGCGAACTACAACCCCTAGCCTGTCTTGGGTGACAGGGAACTACAACCCCTAGCCTGTCTTGGGTGACAGGGAACTACAACCCCTAGCCTGTCTTGGGTGACAGGGAACTACAACCCCTAGCCTGTCTTGGGTGACAGGGAACTACAACCCCTAGCCTGTCTTGGGTGACAGGGAACTACAACCCCTAGCCTGTCCTGGGTGACAGGGAACTAAAATCCCTAGCCTGTTCTAGGTGACAGGGAACTACAACCCCTAACACATTCTGGTTGACAACTACAACCCCTAGCATGTCCTGGGTAACAGGGAACCACAAGCCCTAGCATTTGTGAGGGACTACAGCTTCCAGCATGGCCTGGGTCACAGAACTACAACTCCTAGCATGTCCTGGGTGACAGGAACTACAACCCATTGCATGCCCGGGGACTACAGCTTCCAGCATGCTCTGGGTGACAGGGGACTACAACTCTCAGGGTGCCCCATGTGATGTCATTGTGGAACTTTCTCCTGGGCTAATACTGATGGATCTCCGAGTCCAGTGTGTGTACAGTTCTATCTCCGGGCATGCTGTGACTAGTAGTGTTGTGACCGCTGTGGGTGTCCTATGCTGAACGTATGTTTCCTGAGGAACTACAGATCCCAGCAGGTCATGCCAGCGGGGTCTGACCATCTGTAGTCTCAGTGGAGATGTTCAGCGCACGTCATGTATGTTCCGTGACTACATCCTCACTATGACCCGGCAGCTGGTGACATGTCAGAAATCCGGTACGTGGGAAGGAGACGCGGAAACATCTCATGTGTCTTCCAATCCTGGCACATTGGCCTGACCGCGTCATGTGATCAGCCCGGGATCCCAGCACATTACCCTGACCGCGTCATGTGATCAGCCTGGGATCCTGGCACATTGCCATGACCGCGTCATGTGATCAGCCTGGGATCCTGGCACATTGCCATGACCGCGTCATGTGATCAGCCCGGGATCCTGGCACATTGCCCTGACCGCGTCCTCCGCGTCATGTGATCAGCCCGGGATCCTGGCACATTGCCCTGACCGCGTCCTGTGATCAGCCCGGGATCCCAGCACA